TGGACCGGTGGTTGGGGACCCCTGACCTACAGGGTCCCTTCCAACTCTGTTAATCTGCCTGAACTCAAAATGTTAAAACTGAATTGAATCGAATACTCTATTGGGGGGCGTGCATAAGCGCACCAATGTGCCTACCGTCCCTGTCCCTGTTTCTTTTTATTCGTATCTGTTTCATGTATTCATAACCATGTTTACGTTTATACCTGTTATCTAATACTTGCTTGACAAATAAATAAAATAAAAAATAAATAAATAAATAAATATTTGGTTAAATGTGATTAGCCACACAAGAAATTTGCCTCTGGTTGCAGAGGCTCTCAGTGCACGCGGAAAACAACAGAATAATGATAATCATTGTAAAGAAGATAATAGAAGGATAAATGATAATACTACGGCTACATTACATGGGTAAATACACACAGAAATTAGGCAGCACTGTGAGAATTAGGTATTCAGTTAGAGTGATGGCACGAGGGGAAAAAAACTGTCCCCGTGTCTAGTTGTTTTGGCATGTAACGCTCCATAGCGCCATCCCAAGGGGAAGAGTTGAAACAGTTTGTGTCCAGAATGTGAAGCGTCTGCAGAGATCAACTCAGCCCTCCTTCTGACTTGCACAATATGTGCCTTTCCATAGAATGCAGGCAATTGCAATGGTTCTTACAGTCTTAACTTCATCTGTTGGAGTCTATACCTGTCCTGTTTGCTTGCTGTACCAAACAGCAGCCAATATAATATTGTTCTCAATATATCATAATTGATTTGTTTTCCTATTCAGAATCATCGTCTTCATTTAACGAGCCCATAATCCCTTGCGGGGAGGAGTCTGGGCAACTGAATGGAGCTGAGTGTTTACTGGCCAGATGCCCTTCCTATCGCCAGTGAGGAGTTTTGTTTGACAGACACATTCTCAGTGTGCCCAGAGAGAGAAATATCTGCCTCTACTTAGGACCGAACTCACGGCCTCCTGATTGTGAGGCGAGAGCTCCACCTTTAGGCCACTGTACTCTAAGTGTTTAATGGCCAGATGCCCTTCCTGTCGCCAATGCAGAGTTTTGTTTCAGCAGATATATTCTCAGTGTGCCCCAGAGAGAGAAATATCTGCCTTACCTAGGATTGAACTCACGGTGTCCTGATTGTGAGTGTGTGGGTTCTACCTGTCGGCCACCGCATGACTCCTTTTACTATTCTGAATGAAAGTTATCAATCTTTCTCAGCATTTGATGAGAACCTGAAGCAATGACCCTCATTTTAACTCTTTAAAAATGCTTTAAATAAGTAAAGTAAATAAAAGCACACACCACCGGAAATAGAACACGTAAGAGAGGTGAGGGGGGGGGGTTGTTAATCCTCAAGGTTTAAACCTACCTCTCTTCTGGATGATGATTCGGAGAAGAGGATTGGCAGAGGACAGGGCCTTGTGATAGTTGTCATCGTTGTTGATGGGGAGCAGATCTCCATGGATGTCGGTGTATCCCAGGAGGACCTCGGAACAAGGGATCTGGTGGACCCTCTGGATCAGCTGATAGAATTCCTGGAAACCCCCCACGCTGGATCTCTTCATGGCAAAACGGCGGAACTCAGCCTCGAACTGCCAAGAAGACAAAAACAGACACAAAATAATAGCCAAACCGATAAAACCGCTTGGCCAAGGCAGGGGGAAAAAAAGAAAAAGTAAAGAAAACTGGCCTTGGGGAAAACTTTCCAAAGCAGCAAAGAAAGTTGAGATCTCTCTTAATTCACCTTCCCCACCCCCCAACCCCTCTTCAAATGAAAACTACCTTTTTTCACGGTTTGGAGAAAATACCCAGCAAAGCACCACCTGCGCTGACACATCCCAACAAGCTGTCATGTGCTTGTTTGGTTTTTGGGTTAGTGGGAAAGGTAAGCAGGGCGTGGAGACAATCCATTTGAGTTTGTCAAACTACAATGAACACAAACCAGGGCTTGGTGTGATATAAACAAAACACTCTATAGCGGTTTTAAGAGAATACCGGGAAATAACAGTCCTTTAAGACACCTGGAGGGCAGAGGATCCAACAAGGTAGATTTAGCCTTCCATCCTTCCGAGGTCGGTAAATGAGGACCCAGATTGTTGTGGGCAATAGGCTGATTCTGTAAGCCGCTTGGAGAGGGCTGGAAAACACTGTGAAGCGGTATATAAGTCTAAGGACTAATGCTGTTGTCCATCCATCCATCCATCCTTCCTTCCATCCATCCATCCATCCATGATGAGCAGTGATTAGAATGCAATATTGCAGGCTAACTTTGCCGACTGCCAGCAGTTCAATCCTGACCAACTCAAGGTAGATTCAGCCTTCTATCCTTCCGAGGTCGGTAAACGAGGACCCAGATTGTTGGGGGCAATAGGCTGACTCTGTAAACTGCTTAGAGAGGGCTGCGAAGCGCTGTGAAGCAGTATCTAAATCTAAGTGCTACTGCTATTCAGAACTGTTTTAAGGATTTGCTAAATACTATACTGGTAGTCCTTGAATTACAACAGTTCATTTAGAGACCAAACTTATCACAGCACTGAAAAAAGTGACTTACGACCATTTTTCATACTTAACACCCGTTGCAGCCTCCCCCATGGTCACGTGATCCAAATCCAGGTGCTTGGCAACTGACTCATAGTTATGACGGTTGCAGTGTAACTCTTTGCAACCTTCTGGCAAGCAAAGTCAATGGGGGAAGGCAGTTTCACTTAACAACCGTCTTACTAAATTAAGAACTGTAGAGATTCACTTAGCAACCTTGTTACTAACTAATTAACTTCAGTGGTTCACTTAACAACTGTGGCAAGAAAGGTCGTAAAATGGGGCAAAACTCTCTCAGCCAACGTCTCGCTTAGCAACAGAAATTTTGGGCTCAATTGTGGTCATAGGTCGAGGACTACCTGGACAGACAGGTAGTCAGTTTTGAGTAGCTACATGATGTTGTACTCAAGGAAGATCATGAACGTCGTTCTCAGAGACTCAAATATGTACAACACAGCATCTTCTCTTCTATATTTGCTGTTTAAATGGAAAAACGGATACAGAGGCTGGGCATGTTATTAGAATTAGCTCATTTCCTGCTCTCAAAACCTTTGATTTTAATCTCCGCTAACTGTGAATTCATGCCTTGAATTTCTGATCTTTCCAGCCTGAGTTGTGCCCAGCAATCAACAGAATCATCCAAATGGAAAATAAAGTTTTTTTTTCTTTTTCCTTGACAGAAGCTTTTCTAACTAATGCCCTCTGGATATGTTAGGACCGTGTTCTGAGAATCCGCAGCCCACTGCTCCCTAATTTGGAAAGTCATACTTCCAACACACCTGGAAGGCACCTGTCAAGCTTTAGCAGCTGCTTACCAGCTAAAATTAGATACAGGTACTTGTGATGACCCAGAGTGTAACACAAACGTAAGAAAATCCAAAACGTAAATAAATGTCCTTTAATGCCTTCCAACTCGGCCCCACTGTTCAATAATTCTCAGTTGGAGATGTAACGTATTCAAAAATAGTCTTCAAAAGAAAGCAATACTGTCCGAACTTAATGAGCAGATAGAGGTGAAATAAAAAAACAAACAAACTACAATGAAGGAAATTCCACAACAGACCAGAATAAGTAATTACCAAATTCAAGGAGATAACAAGGCACAGTCTGTTGGAAGGACGCCAACCAGATAACTTCAGACCAAAATAAAACACGTTTTGCTTCTGGCAATGCTGTGTTGTAACTGTCTCTCTTATATGCTATTCTCCCCAGCTGCAACTAATGAGGGGGATCATGGCCGCTTCCTCTCTCGTAAGCCAAGTTGTTTCCTTCTCCGTTCCTCCCTGCATATCCTAGGATGAAGAGGGGATGGGCCTAGTTCTTCCTCTGACTGCCCAGCCAGCCTCTGCCCTTCACCAGCCTCCTCCACAACCTCCGGAGCCACTCCTCCACTCCCTGTCGGCTGTTCCTCCGCTCCCTCAGAGTCCAACTCTAAGAAGGGCATGACAGTAGTCTTCGACTTATAACAGTTCATTTAGTGGCCGTTCAACATTATAGCAGCACTGAAAAAAGTGAGTTATGACCATTTTTCACACTTAACAACTGTTGCAACATCCACATGATCATGTGATCAAAATTCAGAAGCTTGGCAACTTTCATATTTATGACGGTTGCAGTGTCCTTGGGTCATATGTTCCCCTTTTGCGACCTTCTGATCAGCAGAGTTAATGGGAGGGAGCCAGGTTCACTTAACAACCGGGTTACTAACTGATCAGTTGCAGTGATTCACTTAACAGCTGCGCCAAGATAGGTTGCAAAATGAGGCAAAACCACTTAACCAACGTCTCACAACAGAAATGTTAGGCTCAATTGTGGTCGTAAGTTGAGGACTACCTGCCTATTGAAAAGGGGAAAAAGGTATTAGGTTAAAAAAAAATGTCTTGCCAAATGGATTCCTTTGCATAGCAGTCATTTCATCTCTAAGTTTGTTGTGGATTTTCTTGATCTTCTTGCTAACTGCTTGTTGATTTCCCGGGGACACGGCAACTCCTTTTCCAAATAAAAGCACATTCTCCGTATACCTTTAATATTTTGCAAACTTCCCCAGGTCCTGAGAAGCCCATGACAGTAACTATTCAGCACTGGTGGGATTTTTACTACCAGTTCTGTGGGTATGGCTTAGTGGGTATGGCTTGGTGGGCGTGGCAGGGGAAAAGATACTGCAAAATCCCCATTCCCTCCGCATCCCACTAACCTACTTTCCAGCTCCGTTCTCCTGTGCAGGGCAACCAAAGAAGACCCAGCCATTCAGCTGGGACTCAATGGGAGGCAGAGAAGAGATGGGGTTGGTGGGGCCAGTCAGAGGTGGCATTTGCCGGTTCTCCAAACTTCTCAATATTTCCGCTACCGGTTTTCCAGAACTGGTCAGAACCTGCTGAAGACCACCTCTGCTATCCAGGCACGTCTTACATAGTCATTCTCTTCAAGCGCACAGATATTTTTCAACCATTTAATACAGGCATGCCAACCCACAACTCACACGCCACATGTGGTCCTCGTAATGCAGCCCCACAAATTCATACACTTGTATATTTTATACATGGCCCAAGACAATTCCTCTTCACTCAGTGTGGATCAGGCAAGTCAAAATGTTGTCTATTAAGCCTGATCTCACACATTATTTCCTTGAAAGCAATCACATTCAGTCCTTGCTATTTATCCTCATTATGAAATAGACGCTGTGTTTTTATTATACTATTTATGGTTACATTTGTGTCTTTTTCATTATGAAGGTTGTATTTCTTTTTCACCTGGTGAACTTTGGAATTCTCCAGAGGATCCAAACAACAGCAGACTTTTTTTAAAAGGTTTTCTTGCTCTGTTGCAAGAAGTTAATGTTATGCTCTCCAAAGACAACTATGAACAAAGAGCAACATATGGCCCATTATTACAATAACTGAGAGCATACAAGATTTTCATGCAAGGTCTCAGCTCCTCCAGGCTAACACCATACAAAACAAAATTCCTTATTCAGTGCTACTTCTAATCTCTACAACAATCAATAACAACAGCCATCCGTTAGGAGCAGCATACATTAAACAGGGTGTATTCAAATATCAAACTATATTAAACTACACTGTGATTTATTCAACCCCGCTGCATTTGAACAAACCACATTTTCTCGGTTCCACATATCAAATCACCCACCCCAATTTCCCAGTTCATCCAATAAAATCAACCCAGGCAAGTCAACAAATGGTTGTGTGAACCAGATTACAGTGCAATAGCCTTTCCTGGAAATACGGAAATGCCGCTTCCATTAACTGCAACCAATATAGGTAACCCTATACAAGTAGTCCTCAACTTACAAGAGTTCGTTTAGTGACTGTTCTAAATTACAAGGGCACTGAAAAAAGTGACTTAGGACCATTTTTCACCCTTATGACCATGGCAGCATCCACAGGGTCATGCAATTTACATTTGACAACTGACTCACACTTATGACAGTGGGTTTCCCCTTTTGCGACCTTCTGACAAGCAAACTCAACGGCGAAACCAGCTTCTTCCTGCTCAAGCAGGGGGCTGGACTAGAAGACCTCCAAGGTCCCTTCTGACTCTGTTTATTCTACGTTCTCTATTCTAAAGCAAAGCACTCCCATGCTCCCTCTGGTTTTCCATGCCTTGTGTGTGTTTTCAATGTGTTGTGGTATCCCACAACAAAGGATACCCTCCCTTTTTACCAGGGGGGTCCCAGAAGAAGCAAAGCCAGCAGCCTTCCTGGATTAGGGATACTCACCCCCCCTCTCCATCCTTGGGGGTGGGGGGTGGGGGGCATTTGCCACACCGAGACATCCCCTCAGCCGCCGCCCCCCCCCTCCCCGTTTGCAAACCCCGCACTATTGCATAACCCGGCGGCGGCGGCGGCGTGTGTGTGTGTGTGTGTGTGTGTGAGTGCTTATCACCTAGGAGGAAAAAAACTCCGGGCGATTCCTCTCTCAGGTACAGGCTGCCCAGCAGCAGCAGCAGCACCAGCAACGCGCGGAAATCCCTCCAGATCGGAGCAAATACTAATCATCCCCATCAAAAGCATCAGCCCCGCCGCCCGTTAGGCCGAGCTTCCGAGGCCGGCGCAGCGCTGCGCCCAGCAATAAGGCAGATGCGTCGCGATCCCCCACCCACCCCGCCTCCTCCTCCTCCTCCTCCCCAGGCAAGAGATCGCCGGGTCGAGCCGGGTCGAGAGACCCAACGCCCGCTTGGGAAGAGGAGGAGGAGGAGGAGGAGGAGGCTGCTCCCAGGTGCACCTGCCGCGCGGCCGACATCCTACATTCAGCCCGGCATCCGACATTGCACCGCTGCCTGCCTGGGCCCGGCGGCTCTCGCCTTGCATCTCGGGGGGGGGGCGGGGGGGTAGACTGCCGCAGCCTCCTCGGAGGGTTTCTCCCCGCCCGCCGCTTGGAGCCGTCCCCGATCTGGGCAAAGCCCCGCTTCCCGCTGGCTCACCTTGCTTTTGACCTCAATGACCGGCTCCGAGCTGCGCGCCGGTGTGCGGTGGTGCTTAGCCATGCTGCGCCCGCCGGGCAGGGCCGGGGTTGCCCTCAATCGCCCCGCGGGTGTCTCGCCGCCGCCGCC